CCCGCGGGAGCCCCGCGCCGCTCGCTGCACCCCCGCGTCCGCCAGTGCGGGGCTCGGCCTGGCCCCCGGCCTTCAGGGCCAAGCTCAGAGCTCCGGGGCTTGGCGCAGCCTCGCCGTCCTTTGCATAATCTTGGCTCGGGGTCGCTTAGGGAGTGTTCTGTGGTGCTGAGCGAAACATCGAATGACCTCGGGTGCTTACTGTGATTGTGGCTTAACTGCAGCTTGCACAAGTAAGACAGCGGCTCTTTCCATTACTGTATGGTGAGTTCGCAGGAAAAAGTTGGCTCTGCCTGATCGACTTTCAAGGCTCATTCCAAAATAAAACATGGCCTAAACCGGCTCATTGTGTCATGCCTCGGTGAGGTGGCCGCATCCTTTCCGCGAGGTGGCCGTAAGTGCTGCTTTGGGCAGTTAACTCGAGCCTGGTCTGTTCATCTGAACTATAAACTGCTTCAGTCTACGTCCCATCGATGGCATCCTAGCCAAAATGCAGGCAGAATTTCACCTCTCAAGTTGCACTCGGTGGAAGTATGAGCTTGTACGAGTGTGTACTCAAGTGGCATCTTCCTGCGTGACAGCATGTGCTGCAATTTATAACTTCAGTGGGTCCTGGACTGTGATCCTTTGGTGTCCTCAGACTCCTCTAAGGTTTCTTCACCAAAGGCACTTAGCTGAGTTTAATAAATGACTTAAAAAAAAAACCGACTCCTGGTCCATTTTTGTATTCCTAGTAGAAGGCTAGATCTCAGGACAGTCCAGATTCCAAGCCATCGCTCCATGGGAATCCAAATTAGGATTTCCAACTTGAGGTTTGCCTTTCATTTATCAACTGTCGATGCTTTTAAGATAAAAGAGCACCACGGAGGGGAGGCAAAGAGCTGGCGGAAAGTGATACGACACACGGTTGGAAAGACACCAGCCTCATCTCCAAAGAGCTTAAAATGCCTCATTCATTTTGAAATATTTCATCGTAAATACAAGGATAAAATTTCCAGCATAGCGTAAGTACACTTAGAGTTGCTAGGTTCTTCTAGCTGTGCACAATGGCACATAAGTACCTGAGAGGGCTGACAGCCACTGTGGAAGCCAGCCTCCCAGACGGTCCCCAAGATCCCTGTTTGCCGACAAATATTTGCACCCACCTTCCACTCTGGACCAAGGTTGGTGTGTGGCCAATGCATACAGCAGAAGCAATGGTGTTTTGCTTCCAAGATTAGTTTATGGACATTGTCTTCAATCTGGGGTGCTTTCTTGTTTTGCTTGCTCTCTCTTGGTTCACTCACTGGAGGAAGCCAGTTTTCCCATCCAGAGAATCCAGGAAGCCTAGAGAGAGATCCCAGGAATGAAAGTCACCAGCCAAGAGCCAGCAAGTAGCAGAACTGCTGAAGACCTCAAGTAAGACAGAAGTGGATTTGCCACCTCCAGTCAAACGGAGAACTGTAGTCCCCACCCCAGCCCAAATACTTTAACTACCTCAGAGACTCTATGCCTGAACCACCCAACCAGCCATTAGCAGAGCCCTTAAAACAGGCCTGCTGACCTAAGCTCTCATATTAGGAGCAGCTGGTCACCCAGTCTCCCTCACCCCTTTTAAATTTAAGACTATATGAACAGGCCCTCCCTGGTGGCGCAACTGATTAAAACGCAGCACTGTGAAACTCTGCAGCCACTGCAGCACAAGATGGATCCCCAGCCAGGGAGGTGACCCACGTGGTACAGCAGACCTCTCCTGACCAGCTGGCTGCTCCCCTCAGTGGCGTATTTCACTTGGTCTGCCTGTTCTACTGCCCACTCTGCCTCTGGGGAATCCTCTCCCCACCCTCCCATGCCTCTGGCCTGTACCCCAACTCTTGTATGCACAAATAAATAAAAGAAAGAAAACTACATTAACAAGGGTCTGAAGTACAAGTTCCCCTCAGCACCTGAAGTGGTTCTTTTTGGTTTAGGATTTAATAAAGGTAATTTTTTTAAAAACCAAACCAAACCAAAATCCAAATTGAGATTTGATTCTGTGCTGTGGAATGAGCCAATCACAGTTTAGTTACTATAGTGAACTTACATAGCCACGTAGGGTTCTGGAGTAAACTAGTCTTGCACAGATACTAGGAAGACTTTTCAAAGAGGTAGCTGTTTGGCCCTGACTTGGGTTTATCATTCTAGATCTTATTCCAGCTCTGCTCTGGGCCTCTAGATCATTCTAGCGCTAGATCTCATGTTCATTCTATAGACGGAGCCTCTATAGACGGAGACAGCCTCTGTCACTTCTAAGTCCTAATTATTCCTGCATCTGTTTACCATTTTTGTCACTGAAGAAATCTGTGTGAAGCCAGCACATGAAGAAGCAAGCATCAATCCACAAATGTCCATCAGACATGAGGTTCCACTTAAGGGAA